TTACGTTCCTTTTTTTAAAATGAATATTTCCAAACAATATTTTTCTAGAGCGGTCTACCTGATGCCCCATCCATATCTCAATTTGTTCATCACCAGAAACCAGTAACTTTAATAAGTGTATATGAAAGATCACCAGGCAAAATCTTCACGCTTTAGTAGCTAAAAAATTTTGAGCTAATAACTGGATTACTAAGTTATCTCGTGGTTTCAAAAGCAATAAAAAACACGATCAAAGATAATCATGGATTTTTCTTTTATAGAATTTTCATTTAGATTTCAGATTATCATCAATTGAAAAGTTTGAGTTGAAAATATAACCCTGTGAATAGCTATTTTCATGTTTTCTTGACGTTTCAGGACCTCTAGAGTTTGAAAAAATGAGTGTTCCATTTCCATCTGTCATCTGTTGTCAGTTTGTGTGGACGATTGTTGTCTTATTTTATTTACATCATGTACTTTAGAAATATCGTGTAGACGATAAAATGATAACCAAAATTTTTCTAATCATTCCAACCAGCAATGTGATGACGTCACTAAATTTTATGATACTTTGATAACAGACTTCTACATTTCTGTTTTTTGCAAAAAAAAACAAAACTGGAGTTTCAGAGTTAATTACAATTTAACTTTGAAACTCCAGAACTGAATGTTTTGAAATCTTACGAACGTTTTAAGGTTAATGTAAGCATGCTAGAACGTTAATCAAAATTAATTAATTTTGTCCCTTCAATAAATTTGATGACGTCATCTCAAAAGATTGCCGAATATACCATATCCAATATGTGTAAAATATTATGGGTTTGTAGGGACTTGTGGTTATTAATGCATTCATATTGCTTATACAGAGTGACTCAAGAAATCAATAGTTCTTTTTAATTAATAAATTATCTAGGTGATTACAGAATTTAGATTTTATTTATTCTGAAATAATTTCCAATTCTAATAAACTCTGTGTTTTAGAACGTACTGCTAATTAATAATGATGCTCAATGATGCTCTTCATCCATGAATCAGATAAAGTACTTAGTGGTAGGGAATGTTTTTAAAAATTTATATATCATGTTGTAAGATTGTATTTTAAAATATTATATTGGTGAACAAAACTAGGATATTAATTTTTTTATAAAAGATTCGATAATTTGTTGCAATCTTCCGATCAGTTCGTTCTTTCGCATGAAATTTGATTTATTCTTGGTATACTAAAGTGCAATTAGTTTTATTTTACAGTATAGCCCTGATACCACGGGAACATAATAAATAAAATTGGTCTAAGGTAATTTGGACAGAACTTCCCTGGCTCCTGAAATACTATCGAATAAATGCAAATTGTTCGAAAGATTTTTATTTTACTAATTTAATTTTTTTATGATAGCTCCTATAAGTTAAAATGAAGCTATAGACTCTTAAACTACAAGTAAAAAAGGATGTTATGCGTATGTTTCAAGTGAGTTTTTGATAACAAAATTTTATAATAAGGTCATCAATATTTTAGCAAGTTCACGTAATGAGATCCAGTATACAATACTAATTATAACAACCCTGCATTCTGAAATTTTCGGGCAAATAAACGAAAGGGTGAACTATTCTTGATTTGAACAATAAAAAAAAGTTGCTATTTGCCGGCATGAATACACAGACCTCACATCTTCGAAGCCGACTTTCCTTATTATGGAGATTCGTATTATGTGCCTGAAGAACAAGAAAAAATATGCAAATAGTAAACAAAATCACAGTAGATTCATAAACACAGTGCAGGAGTATATTATTTTATAAAATTTAAATAGGCTTTACTAAAAAACATTTTTCCGGGACGTCATCAAATTGTTGGTGGGGATGATTAGACAAAATTTTGGGTTGCATTTTACCATTCAAACTATACTTTTAAAATACATATCAAATTTGAGGACAATTGGTCCAATAGTTGTAGAGATTGTCTGTGTAAAAAAAATTACACAGACGACAAACAGGCAGATAGATATTCAGACAGACAAATACACAGACGGCAGACATTGAGAAAATATTAAAGCAGTAAAATAGTAAAGCTGAAGTAAAAAAATTAAATCCTTTATACGAAATAGTTATAAAATAAAAATTATCACGAGGTTCTAACTTCTAATAAACGCCATCTGAGCTTATGGCTTATGTATGCTTACCAAAAATGAATAACAAATCTTATATCAACATTTATTTTATTCTTAGTTTGTTGCCATATCAAGCAACTAGTGTAATTTGTTTATTCCACTAGAACTGACAACCGTGTTTTAGATTTAGTTTCACATTTTCCTTTAGGCGAATGCAAGTTAGATACTTGTAATCAGATGTGACAACACCGTGGCGACTACGCTTACTGTATATTGTATTAATAAGATTAGCAAATAAATAAAACCACATCATGGTTATACTTAATATGGATGTTAGGTTTTCATTGTTTTATATTGCGGATGTCCACTGTATACTTTTGTATATATTTATGGTACCTAGTCATGAAATGTCATGTGATTTGTTTACGTTTGTACCGCGTACGATAGTCGGATTTATACAGATCTTTAATTAAAGTTTTACATTCTCACTGGTCCCCTCAATTTTTTTTTAAATCAAAACTCGTTATTAAAAGATCGCAGATTTCAAAAAAGGCATGCTTTATGTCGATTTCGACGTTCTGTTACAACTTTGGTGGTCTGAACCGTGAAAAATGTTAGTTTTAAGTTCTGTTTTTCATTTAAAAGCGAAGAAACCGTTAAATTCGAGCTATGAATCAGTTTCTTGGCCCATTCTCGGTATTTAAAATTTGTAAAACTGACAGTTTGGACTACACTTTAATCACACATCACTGATTTTGGAAAGGAAAAGATTTGTGTCAACTTCCACATTCTGACGCCTACTCCATGAGCTATAGGTGTTGTAGTGTAACCTCTAGGATTTTTCGGCACCTTCTCTACAGTTTCAGTTGTCCTACGGGTCCGTAAACGTAAACATTCACAACGTCTGTCATTCGACACAACTGACTGCGTATTTTCTCTAGTAAAAATTTTCACCATTAGTATAAATTATTGTGAAGAAAACTATTATTATTTGTGGATAATCTTCAAGTCTTTTTAGAGTTACTAGAATTTTCCCGACATTCGCAGGTGATGTAGCGCAAGAACGTCTAAAAGAGTGTCTCGTATATACAGTAGCATTAAGCATATGTAGTATATTGTGCAGAAATACATGTCATACCAACTCTGATAACAACATGAAATTGGGTTGTTGATAATGAGAGCGAATTTTGTATTCTACAAAAATTAATTTCAACGAGTATAATACATTATTTATTGCCTTTAAAAAACGACACTGGTGTTAAATCTGAGGAACTAGTAAAGAGAACAATTTAACAGACAATGATATATTATGATCATACTTAGTACTTAAATTGTGTAAAGGCAATGCAAAATTTCAGATATGGTTGCAATAAAGGGTTTTCGAGATATTTAACCGGTTCCATAATTTTGTCTAACGTTGTGTTTCTATCTTTATCTGATTAGAGTAGAAGTATTTACTAAAGTTTATTCATAAGTTTATTTATATTACCTAGTGACTTGATTTAATAATTTCTTGTTAAATTGTTGCAATCAGCCATGTGAACAAAATTAACAATAAAAGTGGATTAAACATTTTACATGAGTTACACAACAAAGTTGTTAAACACCTGACTGTTAATATTCTGTAATCACTAAATCAATGTTAGTGTTTTACCAACAATTTCAAACAAGCCCTGACACATATGTTTAAATAAAATAAAAGTGGATCATTAAACACTCATGATCAATGAACATTCTCAGAACAAATTGCATGTTTAAAATGAAACTGATTAAATTTTTTGATGTCATATTTTTTTGCGGGGAAATTGGAAAATTAGATCACTTGTTGTTGAGTTCATCTCATCAGAAAATAAATTTCTTTATTCATTTTTTACTGTCTTTTTAAGTCCAGAAAATGTATTGCCAATACTACTCATTGAACCTCAGGCCATATTTTTGGATAAACATGTACTCAACAATTTTTTGAAATCACACTATTAAATTTTTGTAGACGGTGAATACATGAATCTTCCACGATATTTTGTAATTCCAAGATCGGGGTTAGAATCTTATTAAATTCCCAAAAGTGCCTCTTATGATAAAATCTACATCAACAAACAATTTATTTTATTTACGATAATCTATATGCGTGAGGTTCAAACTGTGGACACATTGTTAAACCATAAATAAACAACAAAATTCAATTAGTGTTTTACAATTTTACGACAATCATTCTATACCTGTTAGAATAATATACATCACTGATTTATCTTCAGGAAGTGAAAACGCAACACATAAAAGCAGACAACCTCAAAAGAAAGAATAAATTTGACAGATTTTTCTGACAATAAATTATGTTTTGCATAACTCAGAAGTTACAAGGTTTGAAAAAGTCTTGAAATCGCTGAAATTACTATCAAACATTTTTTTCTTCTAATTTTTAGTAATTAATTTCTTACCTAGGTATATGTAGAAAAATCATGAGTACATTTCGAGCGCCAAGTTTTACAAAAACTGACATCTCGACCATCTCATTTCTAGCGACCCATTTATATTTACTTTCTCAAAAGAACTATAGTCTTTGTGATGTCTGAATCAGGATCAAAAACGCACCTAATTATTTTTATTCTTTTACAATAACTTGTTTAATACCAAAAACCAGCAAACAGCCGCAGTAGGTTTTGGATTTATTCTGAAACTGAAAATAAACAAAGTTTAACCTGTTATATTTTTACACGAAACAGACATTAGCACACTTTTAACTAAGCGAAAGACTAATTTTTAACCGTGAAAAACATTATTGCAATTACTTGTATCAATATTTTGTAAGATTTTAATTTCCCCATAATGTGTGTAGTAAATTTAAAAACCAAATACACAATATTTTTTTGTTCCTGTACATTTGACAAGTTCGTATTTTAATAAGATTTTTCTTTCTAGGTATATTCATAGTAAAGAAAAACCCTTCAAATGTACGGAATGTGGTAAAGGCTTTTGTCAGTCTCGAACATTAGCTGTCCATAAAATCCTCCACATGGAAGAGTCCCCACACAAATGTCCTGTCTGCAGCAGGTCATTCAATCAACGTTCGAATCTGAAGACACATCTGCTCACTCACACGGACATCAAACCTTACAACTGTTCGGCTTGTGGGAAGGTGTTTCGAAGGAACTGTGATCTGAGGAGGCATAGCTTGACCCATAATCTGGGCACGAGCTCTGCAGCGACCATGACTAATGTCACCCATCAAAACTTCAGTATAGACTCGATTATGAGCAAGGACAAAAAGTGACAAGGGCGGGGTAGTTCTTGATTGTTGTGTTTTATTTGTTGTAAATATTGTTCTGTAAATTAATTTAGCTTGTAATAAAATTCTTGACGATGATAGTGGTCTTTTCGTAGGAGTGGCGATGGCTTAGTTGCTGATAAATATCTTCCGAAATTTGTCGAATGAATAAATAAGATACCGGATATCACACCAGTGACCAGTGAGTATATCTTGGCCATACAAGACTCTCGTCAGTTAATTTCCATAATATATCGCAAACCCATTCCATAAATCTCCACAATGTGAAACACACGTCACTATAAAATATATCACAGAAAGCGTATGATATTTCCTACGCCAAACAAACCGCATAAACTCGAGCCCTGTTCACAATTTATTGGTTGTGTTCGTACTTTGCACAAATATAATTTATACGGACGCATTGGCCATTAGAAGTACTTAGGACATGATATATAACGAGGCGGCTAACTGATAGAGATCGTACCCGTATACGAATACATAACTATTTATTTGTAACTCTTCAAAAAATCGAATTATGACTATAACACTATCGATAATTTGTTGCAAGATCCATTTGTATGATGAAGAGAGGAAAGAACAAAATTTGTAGCTCGTGTTTCTTAAATACAACGGAAGGAACAACGTTATGGTTTCAATATTATGAGTGCAGTACTTACTTACTTGTATCATTATTACAATGGAATGCACTGTGATCCACTACATCCCGTTCCCTCTAGGTAATTTTGATTTTGAATTAAAATGCATCTCTTTTATTTAAAATTAAGAACTAAATTTTTATAATTTTATCAATGCAAAACGTTTCGTATAAGGACTTATATGCAAAATCTGATTACTTAAAGGTGGATAATTAATCAATATAATATTTGCCTACTGTTTTTTATGTACTTAATTCTAATACCAAAATCATTCAAAAAATACAAATATTATAAATGTTCTCATTCATTTTTAGATGCATTTTAATCAAGATAGTAATAACAAATCGAATCAAATGTAAAAAGGAGAATACAAATTTTTACTAGACTTATATCATTTTAAAAATTAATCAGCTAATTAATATATTTTTTTAGCATGATCATTTCATATTCAATACAATCAAACATTGATAATAACAATAGTGAATCTGTATTACTATGTATTAATTGGTTTTCTCTTTTTTTTGCATTCACAGAGAATTTTAATAATTGTAAAAGTAGTCAGCACTCACTTAAGTTAACAACTAAATCAGAGGTAAGTGTTTCACAATATTTTGTTAAAATATATTGGCTAAATCAAAACAGAGCGGAAAATTCTTTTCTAAGTATAAGAAGTTGCATAGATATTTATTGAAAAAATAACAAACTTCAATTTTTTTAGAACTACATTGCACAAAATAATTATAATGTAGCGAGTTATACAACGTACATATGTTTAAATGCGGCGATTATCTTTATGACAAAATTATTTTCTCGAAGTCTTATTCTTACTATACTGCAGTCTATGTATTAACCAAATAACTTGCTGCAACTTAAACAGGTATGTTAGATGAGAATGTAGAACTTTAACTAAAATTTACCCACTCATATTCTTCAAATAAGCGATGACGTCATCTCAAAATTATATTAAACATACTCGACTTTTAAGTATTCAGTGCACATACTTTTCACTTAATAGTAGTTTAAAAGAATAATCTCTTTTTTTATGTTTGCGAGTTGGTTTTTGAACAAATAATATTTCTCCAAATAATTTTATATTAATCTTAAAAGTTTTTCCCACAACAAGTGGCAGTGAAATAAAAAAATTTAAACATATTTTATTATGTTTTTTTTCTTTTTGGTATTGCCATCAGTATTTACTGATTTAAAAAAGAGAATGCTCAATACACAAGTCAATATAAACAAATAAATGCAACAATGTATAAAATACAGTAAAACGAAATTGTCTTTAAGAAACTCATGTATATCATAATGGGCCTTTGTAATGATCATTTTTTAATATCTCTACTTATCATGAGGTAGTGTTGTTATCATGTGTGGCAGCTTGTTTAAAAATTTAATTCCGTACCTAATAAGTAATCCCACAAAGGTTCTTTTCGAGGCGAAGATAGTTGAATGTTAATTTCGTGTGTCAATCATGAATTTGAGTATGATTACTATAATCTGTATAGCTTTTAAAACGGCGTTTAAAGAAATAGTTTTGCTAGATTTGGAACATAAAAATATCGACTGAATTGATTTTACTCGTGCACCCTTTCAAAAGCTGATTTGTCAGGCAATAATTAGCTGCTTAATAATAAAACACTGAAACACAATTTTCAGTAAATAAATCTAAATTCTTCTACCGCCGCCTTGAAATTATCAAACAAAAATGTCAGCATTGCGACAAAGTTATCCACATAAAAAAGAAAAACGTTTCGACAGTCAGGTTACAGTGTTTTCTCTCTTTATGCTAAGTGAGAATTATGCATGATTAATGTGGTCGTAAATGTAATAACGACAACGTTATCTTGAATAAAAAAGTTGTTAAAACTCTGTTTGCGCATGTACAGATTGTAGTTCGTGTATTGAACGTTTCGTGGCACCACACTCTGCAAATCAAAAGAGACTATGATATATTTTTAATTATGTAAATATTCACCAAGAACAAATATTTCTAATTCTGAAAAAGATCACCAAAAACAAATTGCTCTCGAAATTTATTATCGTAATGGTTGAGTTACTATGAACTTCAATTTTTAGCTATTTCGCAATTAACTTATTACAGTAGAAATTACATCAATTGTATGTTGTTTCCGTGCCAACAGCAGTTACAAAGTTACGTGAATGGATATTTCACTGCGTAATCCCGTTATTATTTGTTTTGAGAGTTACTTTTATTTAACGGAATTTTGAACATTTTTACAATTGCTGGGTAGATATTTAAATTCCAATTTAATTGAAATTCTTTACTGGACTTTTCCGTAATTTACCAGATTTTTTTCGAGATATGCCCGATTTTCTGTCTCTCTTTTTAAATTCATGAAAGTATTTATATTTCTACTTTCCAAACGATTACTAAATGATGAATTGTGGTGGTGCCATTTTCTGTATATGGTCAGTTTGTGAACGATTTTATTCAATAAATAATCTTAAAGCATACTGCATCACTTATTTTAACATTTTTACTCCCGAGGATAAGCGAAGGAAGTATTGTAATACGGTCCATCCGACAGATAGCTACTTTTATGTTTTCTCGAGGTTTCATGACTCCTATTTTCGGGGAATATATGTCTAATAAAAATGACACAGACAGTGGACAGTGGATAATCTGTATTGAGTTTTGTCTCCGTTACTGGACCGATTATTGTCAAATTTTATATGTGTATTATGAATATCATGTAGATGGTAAAACACAAACCAAGATTTGTTTTATCATCCACATCAGTACTAATGGCGTCTGCTTAAAATTTTGCTTGCTAAACGCCATTTAAATTTTATGAAAGAATATACGTGTGGTTTATGAACCCGCCTGTGTATTATTGTTATAAATAATTATTGTTGTTGTTTAAACCTTCTTCCTTTTTAGTCATATATTTCTAATCTAGTCACACCCTTACTCCCACTGTTCTCCCTCCATCCAACTATCCATAATATAAACATAAAAACCATGTTACACCAAAAGCAGCATAACATCATTGCCATTTGTACTTTCAATAACACAACGTGTTTTCTGTTTTCTATTAAAGTCTTAATTTCATTAGGTAAGGTTGCCCTATATTTTCATGGTCTCTTTAATTGTCATTTTTGTGATTTGGATTTAACAAGCTAGATATTCTTGTTTTAATAAAATACTAAATTCATAAGTGTAGTAGAGTTCCATCTCAAACTTTTTTTACCCTAACTTTCATTGCTATGGTTAGTTTCAAAAATTTGACGACTTTGGAAATTTGCCCAGTTTGAGTCAATCCAGTATGTTTTTAATCTCATGATAACTTACGTTTCTCTTGAGAAATATACATACATATTTTTAGCCCGATCTTCTCGCAAAATTATTATTCATTGTTGTTTCTTAATGCTACTGAAAAATTACCTCTTCTGTTTCGTACGGATATGACCATATTCCTTATTCCAAACCATATCGATAATTCTTTAAAACATATTAAGGTTTAAGGAAATGGAACACTTACATCGCCCTACAAATCAACTTGTGTGTGTATTGTATTCCTGCAATACACCCAGTGATCAAATAAAAGAATTCACCACAAAACTAGTTCCGGTTGACGTGAAAATCGTCGCCTTATGGGAAATATTGAATTAAATTTGAGCACATTTAAAACACAAATAAATAATTTAGAGCAAACTGATTTTAACAACAAACAAAAAACGAGAGAACAGTAATAATATTAGCAGTTAGGTATTTGTCAGTCGATGATAAAGCCTATACTTACATAATATGTACTAGGAAATTATTTTTGGGCTAGAAACTGGTTGTCACGCAAATAATAGCAAAATTTGGACGTGATTACAGAAATAATAATATGTATATAAAAATAAAAAAATAATAAAAATAATAAATCAAAATAGCATTTTGATTTGTTCTATCATATCTTCACTACAACTACAAGCATTAAAATTTTGTCAAAAATATATATAAAACGTAATAATTAAATACTTACTTACCAGTTGTGATAGCAAAATACATAGATCAATTGAAAGTTTGTTAATTGCAAAACAACTTCTTTGCTTATATAAGCTAAAATTAATTAGCCAAATGGTGTGGTGCAAAATTTAAGTTCGCTAACTACTAGTCTATAGATGAGTCTATAGTAGTCAAAAATGTATCCTTGCATAAAACCTTGCTTGTAAATTAACAGTAACAGGTGTCATCAGTGGAAGATATTTTACAAGAAATTGAAGATCAACAACGACGCTCGCACAACATTGTTATTTATAACTTACCTGAATCAAGGGGTGATGGCGATGAAGCAAGGAAACTGCATGATCTTAATAGATGCTTCAACATCATCTCTGCCAAGGATGTGGATGTTGTTAGTTGTTACAGAATTGGCAAGATGATAGAAAATAAACCGCGTTTTTTCTTCATCAAATTTAAATCCATCA